GATCAGGGGCAGCAGAAGCCCCTGGGAGACAGCGCGATCTGGCTGTTGCTGCATGTTAGAATTTGGCCGGAGCACCGGGTCAGCTGAAGGGGGAAAGTAGGAAGGAAGGTGTGAATCAAGCCTGATTGAATGAAAATATTGTTTGTACCTTGGGGTGCATTGAATTTGGCCGGTCTCCCCAATGGTCTGCAGGGGACTGAACGGAAGTAAATAAGCATCATGACTTGGACTGTATCTAATGGCTGGATTCGTGCAAGAGCTCAGCCGTTCAGAGCTGTTGTAGACACCATATCCATGTTCTAAATAAAGCAGTATATGAGGTCAATAGGTGGTCTAGATAAGTCACCAATTGCCATCTGCTATATATAATAGGGAGTCAGTGATAATTGACCTACCCCTAGAAGATTGCTTTAAAGCTTTTTGAGACAAATGTGAGCAAAACAATTCAGAAAAAATAATTAAAGTGACATGTTTATTCTTATTAATTGCTACTATTAATACAACAATATTATTTATGACCTTAGACCTCTGCAATTGACAAATACCAAAAAAACAAAACAAAAACTATATTCCCCCACAGCCCTGAAATGAATAAAGAATAGCGTGTTTAAGCCTCGGCATCTTGGTTTTTTAAACTGACCCCCAAACTGAATTTGATCCTGGAGATCCAGTTTGAATTCTCATTCAGCAGAGTTTACTGGATGAGTGTGCCAATGGGACTATCTTTCTTAGTCTAACATATCTTGCAGGGTTGTTGTGTAGATAAAATGGGATCACTGAGCTCTATGCCAGAAAGGTGGGACAAAAGTAGACTTATGACTTCAGTTCCCTCATTGCTGAGTCATAGATTACACACATCAAGGAAAGATTTCAGTGCAGAATGCCACTTTTGATCCCAATGGAAATTGGTAGGAATTGCCAGTGGATCTCCTCTCAACATAACTATGATGGGGGTTTTTTTAGATTTTTTTTATCCCACCTTTCTTATTTTTATCAATAACTCAAGGCAGCAAACATACCTAATACTCTTTCTTCCTCCTATTTTCCCCACAATACAACCCTGTGAGGTGAGTTGGGCTAAGAGAGAATGACTGGGCCAAAGTCACTGAGCTGGCTTTCATGCCTAAGACAGGACTAGAACTCAGAGTCTCCTGCTTTCTAGCCTGGTGTCTTAATCACTAGACCACATGTGGCCTTATTTTATGACCCCAAAACATAATTTTCTGCCTTTTTCTAGAAATTCAGTATCAGGTACACTTTTGCAATAGTTAACTTCTCAGGCTTCTTAAAGAATCTGAGAAAAGAAAGGAAGAGG